CAAAGGCTTTTATTATAAAGCAGTGGCATTCCTCTCAGCCTCTGAGATTGTCTTCAGCTATTGTAAATTGCTCTGATAAGTGGATTTCTTAATACAGACATCCTTTCAAAACTTGCTTCTCTACTATATGAGACATTTTAAAAGATATAATTCAAATGAAAAACAGGTGTTCTCAAAGATTGATACAAAGTGCTTTCATAATATTCTTTCCTTACTCTGGGGCCACACCTGGCAGTGCTCAGGGCTCACTCCTGGCTCTGCACTTAGGAATCACATCCATTTAGGATGGTGCTTAGAGGACCCTATGGGATTCTGGGAATTGAATCCTAGCCAAGCAAGGCAAGTGCCCTGCCCAACTCCTCATTATATTCTTAAACATAGTTAATCAACTAGTCATCCTAACCATATATTTCCAAATATTTTTGGGTTTTTTTTTTTTTGGCGGGGCCACATTTAGCAGTAGTCTGGATACCATGCCACACTGGGGATCGAACCCAGGGCTCCTACATGCAAATCATGCACTCCAAACCATTGAACCATTTCTTTTCTTTCTCTTTCTTTCTTTCTTTCTTTCTTTCTTTCTTTCTTTCTTTCTTTCTTTCTTTCCTTCTATGTTAGGAGTACTGCAATTTATTCAGCCATTGAGTAAGCTGATTGGACTGGGCATGAACTCCACATTACATTTTTAAAAAAATTTTTTAAATTGGATATCCATGAGATAGACCATTACAAAGCTCTTCATAATTGGGTTTCAGTCATACAATGATCCAGCACCCATCCCTCCACCGGTGCATATTTTTCACCATCAAGCCCCCTGTTTCACCACCACCACCCCCCACCCTCTACCCACACCCCCAGGCTCCCTCAATGGGAGGCACTTTCCTTCTTGCTCTCCCTCTCCTTTTCCTTTTGTGCATTATGGTTTGCAATACAAGTGCTAAGAGGTCATGGTGTTTGTTCAGGGCATCAGTATTTTTATCAGGATGGTAAGGCTGAAGTGGCTTTCCAATTGGGTGGCCGCTTTGGGGTGTGGATGTGACTGCCAGGCTTCCAGAAGTACAGGGATGTGGGGGGAGGTAGCCCATCCCGACCCTGTGAAAGCCTGGGGATTTCAGTCACAAAACATGCATGCCAGAATTTTCAGCAGATTATATCTTGGTGAGGTCTGTCCTGAGATGGTGGAGTCAGGCCAGGGGCATGGCAGCAACCTTGAATTGTGGAAGCAAGTGGCTGCTGGAGGCTCTGTCTCAGCGGACCCCTGGCCAACCCACTCCCCCTCCAATTTACCCCCATCTGTTCAGCTATGTGAAGGTCTGAAATTAACTGCGGCTTTTGGTCTCTTTTGAGATTTATGGGTCTCTGAAATAAGGCCAATAAATGAGCTTGTATAGCTGAACCGGAGGTGGTTTGAGGGCATGGCTCCCACATACCTAACTTTGGTCATTTAATTTCTTGGTAAACTTGGTTCCAAGTTGTTGGGGTCCAGCCAAAGGCAAAGCAGAAATTTTGGGGTGTCTGGAAGCCTGAAGTCACCATCAGGCTGCTGATGCACTTGCCCCACAGATACAGATTGACCTGCTGGCAGCACCAGACCCCCTCGCACCATTTCTTTGTCAAGAATTCCAATTTTGGAGGTGGGTGATTCAGACTCTTCCTCACAGTACTTGGGGCTATTCCTGGTTCTTTGAGTGCTAGGATGACATGGTCGTACAGGGAATCAATTCATACAATGAGGCGCATTTACTCTCGTCTCTTTCTGGCACCAGATTTCCATTTTTAAAAAAATAGTCTTTCTCCAATTACTCTGTACCTTAACTTCATCAGGACCAGCTCATGCTGAAAAATACTGTTTGGGACAGCTGGAGAGATAGTACAGAAGTTAAGGTCCTAGCATTGCATGTGACAAACTGCCTTTTGATCCCTGCCACTGCATATGGTCCCAGGAAGGACTTCTGAGCACAGAGCCAAGATTATCCCCTGAGCACTGCCAGATGTTGCCTACCTCACCCCCGGACAAGAACTGTGTTGACATCATATTGAACACAGTAAAAAGTACTGATATTTTTATGTGCCATATAATATGTTACTGTTTCATTCTAGATTGGATCTAGGTCCTGTAACATTTTGGGATAGTTGTTGTTGTTATTATTATTATTATTATTATTAATTTCTAGTTTTATTATTTTAAGAATATCAAAGTAGGACTATCCCAGCAATATAAATTGCTATCCCATGATCCTTTTTAAAATGCACAATTCTGAGTTCTTCACATATTAAGCTATTTTAGTTAAGGAACAAATGAGTTTATACAATCTTCACCTGAAGATCACTCCCCTTGAAATTCAGTATTTCATATGTTCCCTTTTCATATACTTATTTACTTGGTATATTACTGAGCAGGAACTATGCGTCAGATTATTGTTTTGCATTGGGTCGCGCCTTCAGTGCTCAGGGCTGCTCCTAGCTCAGGGATCTCTCCTGATGGTGGTGGTGGTGGGGACCAGATATGCTGCATGAAAACAGTGAATTAACTCCTTCTCCTCTCTCCAGCCACCAGGTTGAGTTGGGTTTTTGTTTTTTTCTTTTCTAATTGAATCCCCTTGAGATACACAGTTACAAAGTTGTTCATAATTGGGTTTCAGTCATACAATGTTCCAATAACTGTTCCTTCACCAGGGTACATTTCCCACCACCAAAGTCCTCAGCCAGGCAGTTTTTAGCGGCTGGACACCCATCAAGACAAAACAGAACCTCCTTCTTTCTAAACCTGGAAAGTTCACTGTGAAGATAGACTTTCAGTAAATTTATAAAAATATTTAAAAGCGCTATAATAGGACTATCCAACACAAAGGGTGACGTAAATTAGACACTTTGATTAACAAGAATATAGAAAATAATGTAGCAACAAACAATATAGCTGAGTGTAGCCAATAATAACAGCCATGTGCAGTGTTAATAGGAAAGTCCTACATTAGCAAAGGGAAACTGCTTTCTGCACCTTTCCTTTTTTGGTCAACTACTCTAAAAAAGTATCTTAATTGAAAAAAAAATTAAAAGTAAGCAGTTATAAAAGATAATAAATTTTGTGTGTGAGGGAGGTGGGTTAGGACCACATCTGGCAGTGCTTGGGAGGCTACTCCTGGCTGATTCCCTATTAGGCAGCCTGCAAAACAAATATTTTAATCCCTGTCTCTTTGCTCCTCCACCCACAAAGATAATCATTTTAAAGAAAGTGCAATGCTAACTATGGAAAAGAATAAGAGACTGGCATCATTTGGTTTGGGATGTGGCAAAAGGTCCTCTTAAACAGGGGTTCTTCAAGCCCAGAGCTAGAAGGGACCAGTTGACCAAGAAGAGAAAAGAAGTGCCCAGGAGTGCAAAGTGATAACACCAGCGTTATCTTTCAAGGCACCTCCTGGCTTCTCTGTGAGGGGTGGATTGTGGGTAAGGAAACTCTAAGGAACAAGAAGCAAAAAGCATAAAGTTAGAGGAGGCACTTAGAATCCACCCCAGTCTCTGCAACCCACTCTGAGTAGTAGCAGAGATTAGTGACAGGAGGATATTTTCTTTGCTCAGCTGGTGTTAGAAATTGTTAAATTTGAGTTAGCTGGGTGACAGGGGAAAGGGAATGTTCAGTGTGTGTGTGTGTGTGTGTGTGTGTGTATACCCAGATGAGGACTGTAGTGGGTGAAACCATGCATGTAACTTCGCAGTAGTAATAACGTTTTCATAGAAGTCTCATAAAAATTTGCAGAAGTTATAGGAATATGTAACAGTTATCTGTAAGTTATCTATAGTAACACATGCAACTGGTTTGCTGGGATTTACTTATTTATTTTCTAAAACTGTATGTTTAAAAATCGTTGAAAAGTCAACAAAAATGGCACTTACAAAAGATCCATTTTGGCAGGGCACTGTCATTTCTATTGATTCTGGAACTTTTACAAGCAGCATGGAACCTTAAGTAGTTGAAAGTTTTTATTTCAATTTCCAGTTAATTATAAAACTCCCCTCCTCATTTGTAATTTTACCTGCCTCTGTGAATGTGCACTCGAGATTTTTCACATTATTAATTGCTCACTGTACAAAAACAAATGAGTCAGTTGGACATTATGTATGATTCGGCAGGACTTTGATAAACCTTTAGCAAATGAACATGCATTTTGCAGCATTAGCTAATAAAGCTAATCTTATTTAGCTAATAATGCCAGAATGTATTGACTTTAGAATTTGATTTATATATATTTTATTTATTTGGTATTCCTGGAAACACATTAAGTAAGAATTCCCCATTTAAGCAACTTGTTTATTTTAGGAAATAGAAGCACATCAGCACTGCAGTTCTAAGTAGCCGGGTAATGAATTTGGAATGAAGGGATAAAATAAAGTTCTCCACTCTGATGTCTCCATTAAGAAGCTCTCCTTTGTGTAAAATACTCCATGGCCAAGTTGCTTCTATTTAAAGGAGTGAGTCTGATCTTGGCTTTGATCTGCAGTGTTTGATCTTGAAAGAAGGATGAAGTACCAATAAAGAGAGGGCGAGACAGATTTTCCTCTAAGAAACGCGATAAAGTTAAAGGGCTGGTCGGGATCAGCACACACGGGGCGACCCGACTCTTGTCCCGAGACCACCACCGTGCGGTCGGGCGACCACCCGCGGGGAGGGGTCTGTCGCGCGCCGCGTCGGGGCGCGGGGGACACCTGCGGGCCTCCGAGGGGCCCGGGCGCGGGTGGGAGACGCGTGGGTCGGGGGAAAGACCCCTTCCAGCTCCCGGGAGGGCCCGCGAGGGGCGTTTCCCGCCTCCCCCGCGCCGTGGGGTCCCGAGCCCCTTCCAGGCGCGGGGCTGGGCGGCCGAACAATGAGCGCGCGGGGGCGGCGGGCCCGGCGCTGCGGCGCCTTTAAGGCAGGCCCCGCCCCGCGCCGCCGCCCGCCCCTCGGCCCGCGACCCCCGTGCGCCCGCGCCGCCTCTCACCTGCGACCCCGCTCTGCTCTCCCGCAGCCGCTGTTCGCCGAGCGCCGCGACCGGGCCGAGTGCGGCCTCGAACGGCAGGTGCGGGCCCAGGTGAGTGGCGCGGGCGGGGGCCCGGCCGGCACGACGCCCCGCGGCCACGCAGGCCCGAGACCCCCCCGCGCCCCGCCCCGCCCCGCCCCGCGCCCCCGGCCCCGCGCCCTCCGCGGCCCCCGAGCCCCAACCCGCGTCCTCCGCGGCCCCCGATCCTCGCCCCGCGCTCTCCGCGGCCCCCAGCCCCGCGCCCCCGCCCCGCGCCCTCCGCGGCCCGCGACCCCCGCCCCGCGCCCTCCGCGGCCCGCGACCCCCAACCCGCGCCCTCCGCGGCCCCCGGCCCCGCCTCACCGCCTTGCGCCCTCCGCGGCCCGCGATCCCCAACCCGCACCCTCCGCGGCCCCCGCGCTCCCCGCGACCCCCCGCCCCGCGTCTCCCCGACCCCGCACCCCCTCCCCTGCGCGCCGCAGCCGCGCGCGCAGTTCCCCGCGCCCACCCCCGCACCCCGCCCGGGGGCCGGAGCCCGCAGGCCTGGTCTGAGACGCTCCGTGGTTCCGAACTTCAGGCCGCGAAATGGATCCGCTGGAACCGGGGACCCCGCAAGCGGACGCGGGGTGAGCCGGAAGCAGCCCGCGGACAGGTAAGGCCTCAGCGCGGGTCAGAGCCCGGGGGGATCGTGACTGCGGGGCTGGCTGCGGAATCGCGGGCCGGCGAGGCCGGGGGTCCCCACCGCCTGGCCGCCCTGTCCTCCCGAACGGCTGGGGTTGGTGGGGGGCTCAGCGAAGACGACCGCGGGGGACGCGCGTCCTTGATTCCGGCGCATCGCTGGGGTCAGCTGCGGCGGGTGGGGAAGGCCCCGGTGAAGAGGGGACCTTCGGAGTCAACCCCCACGTCAGTCCTCCGGGGGTCCTGAGCAGCACCCTCCTCCGGCTCCCCCGAATCGCTCCCCGGAATCGGGAGAGAGATGCCAAAAGAAGATCGCGCTGGGGGCAGGGGTGGTTGACTTACATGCAAATTGGCTTTTCAGAATTTAGAATTTCAGTGTGATCGCTGAAGTTTGGACTGCCGATTTTCCCTTGGCATTGTGTTGTTAGAATGTTTTTTTCATGGTATGGGTTTGTCAAGTAAGGTAAGTAAGCAGCCTGTTGTTTTCTGAGGGAACACTCACAAAAGTGAATGCTTTCACAAATGACCTAGCAAATGGTTTTTGTTGTTTTTGCTATGGATTTTGCTGTTTTTTCCCCAAGACTTCTACAGCTTAAAAAAAAAATGTATTTTATTCTTGGTAGCACCAAGGGATTAAAATAGCACGGTGGTGTTTCGCTGCTGCTAGAGGTCTGATGAATCACTCCTGATTCTGAAGCCAGCCTCATCGGTGTCTCACTGACCCTTGCACAACCACACCTGGAGAGGGTGACACTACAGTTTGAGAGGGCTTCTGGGGGTGCACACGCAGCACCTGAGAGTCGTTAAAAGACATTTAGTTCAACCTTTAGGAAGTTACTTCTCATACTTACTCTCTCCTCAGCTCCTAGTATCATGTGTATCTCTCCTGGCCAGGGGCATGACAGCTTGTGGCCCACTGTTTGAGGGTAGAGATGGGAAGGGAGGCTAAAAGATGAGGATTTCAGAGTTGTGTGGGGAATGTTACCTGTACCCCATTTTCCTTCTGCTTAGCCGCTGAGTGTTCGCTCAGTTTGGCTCTGGGCCTCGGAGCCTGATGCTTGTGTGCTGGTGAGTGCGGAGTGTGGGCCGCCTGGTCTAGCCAGGAACAACCGTTGAGACACGGAAACTATTTCCTGACTGTTAGCTCAGAGCCCCAGCAGGTTCACCCTTTTGCCCTGATTGTCAGTTCTGAACACAGATCGAGTTCTGGGTGGTAACGATTATTCAAATCAAGGTCATGTGTCCACCTTTCGCTATGGTTTAAGCCTGTTAGCAGGAATCCGGGCTCGACCCTGTGCTGCTAGGAAGTTGCTTTTCCCAGCTTGCACGACGCTCGATTTCTCCTTATTCGTACAGCAAAAATATCTTTGTACAACATTAACACAAATCGGTGGCATTTCCTGCTTTTAATGCCATATTACTATACCGTCGAGCCAGGCCGCCTTCCTGGGAGGGGCCCGTTTTCCAGTTTGGTTTCTCCTCTATCCTGTTGCTTCGGTACCGCCTTTGTCTCAGACATCGCCCATTTTCTGCCTTCAGCAGTCTGTCCTTCCTTACCTGCCAGCCCCACAGAGCCAGCACGGTCCTGGTGGTGCGAACCTTGATGGGTTCATAAGGTTTCTCCTCCTGTTTGTAGCACAGAGGAGCTTCTCACCCTGCTTACAGGAAGCAGACAGTGGGGCCTGCCCTCTGCTAGGGCCCTGGCCCTGGATCATTATCGGGACCGTCTCTTCCCAGACCAATTTCCCCCACAAATCAGAAAGTTGCTTAAGAGTGGGACATGGCTGGGTATAATTTAAAGCAGTGGTTCAAGTTTTCCGAAGGGGAAGCGAAGCCGACTTGTTCTCTGCTCAGCTGAGGGTTGGAACAATGAAGTGAAGTGATTGAGTCCTGGTGCTGGCTAGCCCGGCAGGGAACTCTGGACTTAGCACCTGTTTCTCACTGAAACAGCCACCACCAGCTTTCTCTCTGACATTCATTTCCCTCTCATCTTCAACTTTTAGTCCCTTTTTTCTACTGACAGAGCTGAATTTCCTTATACTGGTTTCGTGTATGTTTGTATGTGCATGTGTCGTCTCTGTTTTAAACTGAAACTTACTTCTCTACTTTGTGTATTTTCTTGTTAGGGTTTCTTTTCCTTCGTTTTCAATCATTTCAAGTTCACTTTGTTATTTGTAGTTTAAATAATTTGTATCACAGAAAGGCAAAGGGCACATGAACACGGAATAATTTTGTTGGTTGCCTCCGATTGTGCTGTAAACAATAGTAATCATAACAGTGGATTATGGAATGTGTGTTTCTAAAAATAATAATAGGTGAGATGGGATGGGGTGCAGGCACTTGTCTTGCATATGGCTGGCCCTCATGTGACAGTTCCTCATGGACCCCTAACACCACAGGGTGTAGCCTAACCCCCCTCTATGCCCGTTAAATTGAAATAATAATAGATTTTATTAAGTCAGTTTGGGAAGAAGAGCAAACATTTTATCCCTGGTTTTATTTTTAACTGCTTCAAAGATTAATACAAATTTTCCATCACATTCAACGATTAAGGAATAATTTTATAAATATGTACACAGAAGTATAAAGTTTGAAGTTCTATTATCAGTTTAAGAATTAGAATATTTTATGTGATTGTGTGTTTGAAGAAACTATGTGTATGATTCTTTTAGTGAAATAAAAAATTCTCAGAATCATCAGCAGTTCTCAGATTCAAAAGAAGCTCCTTTCAGCGTATTTGGTAATATACAGAGAATAAATTTTAAAATACTTTATTTGCTCATCCGTAGCTGTATTTGGTAACTCAGAAATGTTCATTGGCATGTTTCATAAAATAAAAAATCAGCAGTATTAAAGTATTGTAAGAGGTCTTGGAGGGTTAGATTGCATGTTTTCTGTTAGGAGTAATCATTTTTCCTAAGACGCAGTGGTTTCCAATAAAGCTTCACCCTGATTATTTTCCTTCAATGTCTGAACGGCTGTACTCTTGAGCATGAAATTGTTGAAAACATGGTGAACTTTTTCTTGAATTATCAAGTAAACATAAAACCCCTAGTTGATTTACAATTTATTTATAATTCTCTTAAATTTCTGGAGTATTTTTTTCTCTACATTTAAATTTTTTTTGTTATTGTTCTTTGTGTATACATGATATCGAGGTAGAATAATTCAGAGAAAAATTTTTGACATTACAGGTAAAACCCAACTTGGTTTATGAGTTTGTAGCATGTATCGCTCTTTTCAAAATTTTCTGCCTTCTAAGAATGCTTTTGTTTTTTGCTTTTTGGGTTACACTGGCGATGCACAGGGTTACTCCTGGCTCATGCACTCAGAAATTACTCCTGGCGGTGCTCAGGGGACCATATGGGATGCTGGTAATCGAACCCTGGTCGGCCGTGAGCAGGGCAAAAGCCCTACCCGCTGTGCTATTGCTCCAGCCCCTAAGAATGCTTTTATTGCAATTCTAGTATAGAAATATTGAATGTGATAAAGGTAAGTGCAACATTTTAAGCGGTTTAACCAAGTGCTTTCTTGCCGCTTCCTTCCTGACAGATGTCTGTCTCACATTTGCTTTGTAATTTCTGCAAAATAGTATGTAAGATTCTAAAATGTTACCTGGCTTTTTCTTAGACCTGTAACAGCAACCTGTATGAGTCTGAAATCAGCAGGGCACCACACTGGCAGAAGGGCACACGGGAAGCTGGGGGTCCATGGCACTGAATCTGGAGCAGCATCGAAGTCTGTCCAGTTGTGGGATGAGGGGTGGGCAGCCAGCCCATCTACGCACCTGAGGCAGAGTCCTGTTAGTGGTTCCCGGGCATTGCTTGGTGCCTTTGCTGCGTTCTGAAAAGTGCTCTTTCCCCATGAGAATTCATAACTGGCCGACATTTATATAGCTGCAATCTCTTACAATAGCGTCATTGATACTCGATCTTCAAAGAAAAGCTTTATGGATTCCAATGAGTCACAGCTCCAGGCAGCAGCCAGCCACCGGCTCCCACCCTCCGTGGCTGCGAGGGGCTTTGTGTCCTTCCTTCCACCAATTGTGCCTTGCGATGATGCTGCCCGGAGTGATGGGGATGGAGGAGTAATTTATTAAAAGTAATTGCAAAAGAGCCAGACAGAAGGAGTGACTGCAGTACGGTTCATGGGCATTTTGTTACTCGATTGCTCAGATATTTGGAACATGGTCTGATTTGTGGATTTTTTTCATTCCCCCCATGTAAATTCTAACAAATACATAATCTATTAAAATTACTGTTGACCCAGGTCTCAGGTTAAATAGTTTCACGGGATCAGAGTTATTTTCCCTCTTTTAACAAAACGGATTCTGTGGGCTATAGTACAACATACAGGCTGCTTTCCTTGCATGCAGGTGTGGTGCTTGCATACCGCCCTTGGGTCGCACTCCTGCCTCCGGTGCTCACACCCAGACTGCCTGGTTGTTTTATGCGCACACACAGGCTCATGGGAAGGTCGCACTGCAGCTGCGGGGTCACTCATCTCTCGGTGCAGCGTGTGGCGGTAGCAGGGTTTAATTGGCGTGTTGGCGCGAAACACGTGCTTGGCTATACTGTACTGAGATCACAAGCTTTGTGGTGGTGGCAGGAATTCTGCGCAGTGGCCCTTGGGTGGTGGGGGCCATGTGTGGTGGTGTAATTTGGCAGTGCCCGCCATTGGACTTGCAGTCTTGGGCTTGCAGGCACTTTGACACCCAGCCATTCTGGTGCCTCTGGGTTTATTTATACTCAAGGGTACAGTTTAAGAAGTTTTGAGACTTCTGAGTGTACCGACTTCCTTCCCATTTTCAATAAGCATAATGGAGAAAATGAGAATACAGTCACCCACTTATCCACATGCATTACTCACATGTTATAAAAAGAACCTTTGAATGGAACAATTAGTATGGTAATAGCTAACACTTGTCATGTGTCAGGCCCTGTTGTGAGTGCTTTACTTACATCAGCCCATGTA